CAAAAATTATGATACTGGTCATTGTGCTTCTAAGTATAATTTTATCCCTAATTCAACTTTGTCTTCCGAAACTAAGGAATATCCTTTTAAATTTATATGAAAATAATTTTTAGTATGTTTATGTTTTACAAATATAATAAATATACAAGGACAAACATCCTAAATATTAGACTATATTTACCGCAATATATTTTCTTGCACGAACAACAGTATGTTACACTTTCAAGAGGGATATCAAGAATTCAGATTTAGGCAAATCAACCAAAGCATTAGGAGGTAACATACACAAAAAAAAATATTATTCACAAAAATTATCTAACACGACAAAATTGACCATTTTTTTAAGTTTTGATGCTGTCCTTTTATTTTAAATTCATGTATTATGCTAATGTAATAATATTTTTCGGCATTTAGATGATTGTTGTATTATTATACATAAATTTACTCTCATTAATTAAATTTTATTGTTCTTTCATATAAATAAATATTTAAACCATCACGTGTCATTATTAACGTGCAACGCACGTTTATAGATACTAGTAAACAGTAATAAGTATATATGCGCGTATACTCCACTATAGTTATCACCAACCATCACTTGTCAATGTTCTTATTTAAATTGTTTCATCTCAATCTTGATCTAAATAGTAATAATCCATTCAATAGCAAGTGATCATATATTATATTATTTGACTTCTGCACTAACTATAACCTAGAGCACTACATTCAATAATTGAAGCAACAAATGGTTTTCACACCTAAGTCCTAAATCTAGAACTTTCCTTTCTCTCTTTTTGTGATATCCATTTCTCATTCCGTTCAATAATATGAGGGCAGTCCGCATCATAAAGCATTGGGTGTTCACGTAGGGTTTGGGGAAGGCCGCAACTCAAGGGGTGTGACGTAGAATACTCCAATGGAAGCGTTAGTGACTCCTTTCAGTATTGCTCGAACACGTGACCTATAGGTCATACGGACTACTGAGGCAACTTTACAGTTGCTCCAAAGTTCCCTTCGTGCCATTCAACAATATGCATGCATTGAATTATATACCTTCTAAAAAAATATTACTAGTGCTAATCAATTTTCCTCGTGCTACATTTTCTTCTACATATAAATTATATATTTTCCACTTTGTATTATTTTATATAGTTTTGTTTTCTTTACATATTAGAGATACCTCCACAACCATATATAGTGGAATTGTGGGTCGGCATAATCTCATCATAGTATACACTATCAAATCAGCACTCCAATAAGCTTTTTGTATTGCATGCTTTAGCATTTTCGTCCACATAAACTTTGGTCCCTTTTTTCAAAATTAATTGCAACATAGTACTATCATCAATATTCATATCATAATACATTAATTAAGCAAAATTCTTCCACTTGCTCTAGTTTACCTAATTAGTATCTACAACTATAAATAGCACAAATATTTCTCTAAGTGTTACAACAACAAAAACATCCAAACACAACTAGCTAAAAAGAGTATAGACAAACGTTGTCTTTCTTGTTTTGATCCTTTGTTTCTAGTATGGCTAAGGTGAAGGCTTTGTCCTTTCTTGTTTTGCTTGTTTTTTCAAGTTTTATTGTAATGTCTGAAAGTCGGGTGGCGCGGATGGATTTAGGTTTGGATTTAGGTGGTGTAGGAGTTGGTCTTGGTGTTGGGATTGGCTTAGGGTTAGGTGGTGGAAGTGGTTCTGGTGCCGGTGCAGGAGCTGGTTCAGGTTCAGGATCAAGTTCAAGTTCAAGCTCGAGCTCAAGTTCTAGTTCATCTTCGTCTGGTGGTGGTGGTGGTGGTGGTTCAGAGGCAGGCTCATCGGCTGGGTCATACGCTGGATCAAGAGCTGGTTCTGGATCTGGAAACCGAGGTGGATCTGGTGGTCGTGGTTATGGAGGTGGCTACGGTGGAGGGTATGGTGGAGGAGATGGTGGTAACTAAATTCATGCATATGACTCGTAAAATGGAATCCACCATTTTAACTTAAGTTAAAGTTAATAATAAACAATGTGGTGAAGTATTTATGTAGCTTATTGTAATACGTACCTTGTATGACTCGTTTGATCATTGTCATTTGTGATTAGGTTATTAAATGTAAGGAATCTTGTTGGTTTGTGTTTTATGCGTTTTTCACTTATGTTAAAGATGTTTTGCAATATATATCCATCACAATATATATATATATATATATATATATATATATATATATATATATATATATATATATATATATATATATATATTCAATAAAATTCATAACTTTCGAATTAAACCTTATGTATATAAATGTGAAAAGTAAGTATAAATAAGGTTAAATACATATTTCAAAACCTATCTTCAATTTAAAGTTTAAAACCGACAATGGTGTAAATTCTAGATTCACCAATGGTGACACGTACCGATAATTGTTGCTACTACGTGCATGTTTCAATTGTAAGATATGAAAGGGGCCAGATGTATACAGAGTTGGATAAATCATCAACTAGAGCACAAAGCTACCGCTTTCCCTGATTGATTAAAATATAATAATCGTGACCTACTTTGATTCAAAAGAAAGACGAAGGGTTTGACAACAAGCAAAAGGCTTTCTATCATACTATTTAACAAAGGATGCTTTCGGTTGGTTTCATAATGGAGTTGTTCTCAAGTAAACATGAAAGATCAAAGGATATATGACAGACTAAGAAGTTATAGAGTATGTCAAGGCAACAACAACAATAATAATTACCAGATTTATATTTTCGATTTCTTATGGATGATGCAATACGAGAACTTTTCATAGGATCAACTTTGGAGTTCATAAAGAGACTAATGCATTAGTGTTAGTATGATTGCATCCTTATCTTTTCTGCTAATTAGATTTTGAAAAAATGAAAGTTCAAGTTTTATCTGCAAAATTGAAATTCTATCTTTTCAATCATATTATTCTTAATTGTACTACGAGATGGAAAATGAAACAAATTTAAGAAATGTGATGGGAGTATTGATTATGAGATTTTTACACAAATAGTCTATCATATTTATTGTTTATTTTTTCTATCCATATATATAAATTATATATTGATTATATACAATATACACGTATATACATAAACTATGCACATATTATATCTTCACCGGCTATTTTAGTTTAAGTTATTGGGTGGGCGACTATTACGCTAATTCTTCATTGATTAATTTGAGAAAAGTTTTCTTTAGTGGAAATTGGATTTGAAACTGCTCGCCCAAAACAAGGAAGTTTCAAGAAAACTTTGGTATCAATGCTCATCCAGCCCGATTCTGTAGATTTCCAATTTCTTGGTCTGCAAACTATGCAAATGAACTAAGCCGATATTAGAGAAGAATTAACTTTTATTGGTCGATCAACATTATATTCGTGCCTTTATAGATAGATAGATATAGAGCCTGTTTGGATTGATTTAAAAAAAGTAGCTTTTAAGTACAAGTGCTTAAAAGCACATTTTAAGTGCTAGAGCTGGTTTTAAGAATAAGCAGTTACGTATTTGGATAAAAGTGCTGGAGCTGAAAAAAAGCTATTGAAGTGTTTAGTAAACAAGTGTTAGTAAGCATTTTTTCTGTTAAAATTACTGAAATATCCTTAAAGCTGTTAAACCTATAAAGAAGCTTATTACTATAATATATTATTCTAAATAATATAAATACATAACAATTAATATTTTAGTTCACTTTCAATTTATAAAACTAAAAGTAGTATGAAGAAAGCTAACGAACAATTTCAGTTTGAAGAAAGCAAACGAAAATAATAATTAATATTTTAAAGAAAATTAGTAAAAAAACAAAAAATGGGAGCAAGCAAATCGTTAATCTGGAGAAGAATGGGAAAGAAAAAAAGTAAAATGAAGAAAGTAGATGCTGCATTTTCGGGAGGAAGAGTACAACAGCAATTTCAAGTTTTGTGCTGAGGGGTAATTTCGAGATTAAGAAAAATTATAAGGGATAAGAATGTAATATCCTTGGTCAAAGCAATATGGCTTTTAAGCCAATTTAGAAAAAGTTGGGTTTACCCAACTTGTTGGTTTTGGCTTCTTTAAAGCAGATTTTAGCTTTTTTTAAGCCATTTGTCTAGTTGCCAAACACTTCTAGAAGTTAAAAAGGGCTTAAAAGCTGGTTTGACCAACTTTTAAGCCCATCCAAACAGGCTCATAATCGTATATAATTAATATATAATCTATGTATACCGGCTAAGAAAAGTAAATAGTAAATTCAATCGGCTATTTATATAATGATCCCTAAATTAGAAATGCGAAAAAATTGACATCCTATAACAACACATAATAGAAATTGGTAATTTTTTAACCTTATATTAGGTTTGGCAAAGATAGCCCCAAACAATTGGCATTATATAGCCAAATCTTAAAAAACTACTCTCTTTTATATTCTCTCTCAAAAAAAAACTATATGCTTATTTTGGCTTCCCTCACCCTTTCTTTCCTTGTATTTCTTCTTCTATCTCTTCTCTTTTTGTGAGGTCATCACTTATTTTTAAAATGAATTTTACGTTCGAGGCCTCAAAAACCTCTTTTTAGCGTCACCTCAATTTGCGTGCGCAGTCCGGGCGCGTAGCCGGAAAGCTATTATGTGAAAAATCTGTGAAAATATTGAATTTTTGGCTTAAAATGCATTTAAGTTGACTTCGGTCAATATTTTGGGTAAACGGATCCGGACCCGTAATTTGACGGTCCCGGAGGGTCCGTGGAAAAATATGGGACTTGGGCGTATGCCCGGAATCGAATTCCGAGGTCCCAAGCCCGAGAAATGAATTGTCAAAAAAATTATTTTCTGAAATTGTTTAAAGGATTTGGAAATGAATTTGGATTAGAACATGTTGGTATCGGGCCCGTATTTTGGTTCCGGCGTCCGGTACAGGTCCTATATGTGATTTAAGATAATTTTGTGAAGTTTGGTAAGAAACGGAATCCGTTTGACGGGATTCGGACCTTAAATGCAAAATTTGATGTTTTAAGAAGTTTTGAAATATTTCATTGATTTTGAGGTTTAATTTATTGTTTAAGGTGTTAATTTGGCGATTTGATCGCACGGATAAGTTCATATGATATTTTTGAGTTAGTACGTATGTTGGGTTTGGAGCCCCGAGGGCTCGGGTGTGTTTCGGATGTGTTTCGGAAGGTTTTAAACTCTTAAAAAGTTGCAGATTTTCAGTTGCTGGTATTCTGGTATTTTCTTCTTCGCGTTCGCGGGAGGACCCTCGCGAACGCGATGAGTTAATTGTGCTGAAGGAAAATTCCTTCTACGCGAACGCGAGACCCAGGTCGCGAACGCGAAGCTTTGGGGGGTCTACCCTTCGCGAACGCGGGCCTGGTATCGCGAACGCGAAGGCTTGTGGCCTGGTCAAGGGGAAGGGAAAACTATACCTACGCGAACGCGAACGCGAAGGCTCGAGGAGTTACTTCTCCGCGAACGCGAGCCATCTTCCGCGAACGCGAAGGTCTGTCAGACCTAACTCATCGCGAACGCGATGACCAAATTCGCCCAGTTATTTTAAGTTCCAAAAACAGAATGCATTACGGGATTTTTACCATTTTTCACAAACTTCTTCTCCACACCTCCTGGGCGATTTTTGAAGAACTTCATCACCGTAACCTCTTGGATAAGTAATCTTTGACTTGTTTTCTTCCATTTTTATCAACATCCACTAGATTTCTAGGCCTAAAACATATGATTAAGGGTAAAAAATTAGGGATTTGGGTAGAGTTAGGGCTTTTTGATTATTTGGGAATTTGACCTCGTTTTGGGGTCGGATTTCAAAACAAATTGTATATTCGGGCTCGTAGGTGAATGAGTGATCGGGTTTTGGTCCGAACCTCATATTTTAACCAAGCGGGCCCGGGGTCAATTTTTGGGTTTTTGGAAAGTTATAATTAGGCATTGGAATTGGATTGTTTGGCGTTTATTGATGTTATTAAGTCGATTATGCCTAGATACGATTGATTTGGAGCCAAATTCGAAAGGGAAAGCGGTGTTTGAGGCTTGAGTTGGCCGTGGAAGTTTGAGGTAAGTGTTCGGTCTAACCTTAGCATGCGGAATTAGGAGTTATGTCCTATTTGCTATTTGCTTCTTGTTGAGTACAACGTATAGGCATGGTGACGAGTATCTATACGTTGGTATCGAGCATGACCGTGAGTCTTAATTGCAATTTGTTGTGTTCTTAAATGATACCACGGATGCTTTAATTGATGATTCTCGATATTGAGCAAGGATTAAGTTTATTTTCGTGGAAATTACTTATGATTGAATATTGGTGTTAGCTCAGATGAGTAGAAGTTGAGTTAAGATTGGTTATAGCTGATTCTCCCTTGCCGGGACGTATTTACTTTTATTGTCGAATCCCTTGTCGGGATAGTGTAGCTTATTGTTGATCCCTTGCCGGACTCTTGGTATGGTTGTTGCTAAAAGTACATAAATATATGGATCGGGTTGCACGCCGCAACAATACTAAATATGGATCGAGTTGCACGCCGCAACAATATTATATTGGATTGGGTTGCACGCCGCAACAATGTTATATTGGATCGGGTTGCACGCCGCAACAATGTTATATTGGATCGGATTGCACGCCGCAACAATGCTATATTGGATCGGGTTACACGCCGCAACAGTGATATAAATGGATCGGGTTGCACGCCGCAATAGTGTTTAATGATAAGGGATCGGGTTGCGCGCCGCAACAGTATTATTAATATTTTTGTTGTAGATTTTGAATTGTTCTCTCATATTTCTCTTGAGTTCCTGTTGGACTTGGTATTTTCCCCGCAGCATGTACCCCCTCTCATCTTTATTTGTTCATTTCTGTTTTATTTTCCGTTGTATATTATATAACTGCACAGGTTTATCTGGAGTCTGGTCCTAGCCTCGTCACTACTTCGCCGGGGTTAGGCCAGGCACTTACCAGCACATGGGGTCGGTTGTGCTGATGCTACACTCTGCATTATGTGCAGATCCCGGAGCAGCTTTTGGATAGTAGCACTTGGAGAGGCTGCCTTCAGTCCAGGTAGAGATCCCGAGGTAGTCCTGCAGGCGTCCGCAGGCCCGGCGTTCTCTTCTATCTTACTATGTGTTCTGTTTTCACTTGTTTCCGAGACA